TCACTCTAGAACTATTTTAGACACTTAAAACTTTGTATATTAAAATTTAATGCATTAAGAAACAATATAGTGAGACTAAACTGAAAAGAGTAGTTAGTAATGCCACATATAAGGCAGTCTTGGAATAAGAAATATTCCACTATAATCTCAGTACTTTGGGAGGCCAAAGTGGGAAGGCTGCGTGAGGCCAGGACTTTGAGAGAAGCCTGGGCAGCATAGTGAGACCCTATTTCCTAAAAATTAAAAAAAAATTAAAAAGAAATATTCCATTTTTTCAATTAAAATATTAAACATATTTCCAAAAGGCAGAATGGCCCACTTATACATATAAACATGTAAGGATATGAAAACTGTAGTTAAATATCTACCTATACTTTTTATTCCATTAATTTAACTGGATATTTAAAAAACATGCACTTTATTCAAATTCGGATGTGAGCATCTCAACACATGTTTTATTCAAATTCTAGTGTGAGCATCTCCACCACCTAAGATCCTCCTTTCTACTCCTCCATCTGAGTTTTCCAGAGCACTTCTTCCCTTGGTTCAAGACAGGACACCCCTTGAATCATGATGTATGATGGTGTTTCTGAAAGTTGTCTCTGAAGGCACAAGCCCCTATTTATATAATATTAGCAGGTTTCTCTTCTAAATAAAAATATTTCCTTGTACATGTATGTATTTTGATGTGCACAATGATGTATCTGTCTCTTGTATTGCTTTTTAAATAGATTTTCAAAATCGCTGTTTGGAACAACATCCAATACTTGGAATTGCGAAGTCATAGCCGCTGGAATCATGACTGTGTTCCATTTCTTTTTTTCTTTTTTTTTTTAAGAGGGAGTCTCGCTCCATCGCCCAGGCTGGAATACAATGGTGTGGTCTCACCTCACTGCAACCTCTGCCTCCCAGGTCCAAATGATTCTCCTGCTTCAGCCTCCTGAGTAGCTGGGATCAAGCCACCCACCACCACACCCAGCTAATTTTTTGTTTTTGTAAAAATTAATTGGATGTTTAAAATTTTAAACATCTTAATTAAGACGGGGTTTCACTGTGTTGGCCAGGCTGGTCTTGAACTCCTGCTCGTGATCTAGCCGCCTCAACCTCGCAAAGTGCTGGGACTACAGGTGTGAGCCACCGTGGCTGGCCTACAGTGTTCAGTTTCTTAGCTCCTCTCTTATGGATCCTAGCAGATGACCATCATGAGCACCCAGAATAAACCTTGGGTGAAGTCACTTCACCTCATTGTAACTTCCTAAAGCAGCACTTGAAAGGACCCAAATATAAAGCAAGGTCATCTCTTCTGAGGGATAATAAATTCATGAGAAAGCAAATCTCACCTTTGTATTTGAGGATATGTGGTGTATTTTAGTGGAATTCTGCCTTTAAGAGAAGTGCCAGCTGATTTAATGGCAGCTGTGATCTCTGCTTCATTTCATCTTTTATCTAACGATCCACTAGTTAGTAAACCTGAAATTCCTGAAAGAAAAGAAATACTTCTTTTCTTTGCAGTGTAATCACCAACAATAAAGACTTATTTTTTGCATTAACATTCAACTGCAATGTATTTAAATGTTCCACATACAGAAAAACACCTGGTTTTTCCCAAGATTTGTTAAACATAGCCCCTTTGGTGTCCTTAGTAACACTGCAAAGATACCTTTATGCAAAACTTAATTTGAGTCCCAATTACCTTACCATGAAAAAACATAAACACCAAACAAAACTGAGCATAATATCCAAATATCTAAAAAATAATACCCTGGTTGAAGGAATTGTAAATGCTCAGATTCACCAGGGAGACTAGAATGTAAACTTCTTGTGTTGTGATTCCTCCAAATCATCTGGCCACCAAGGTATCATATCCCACAAGCATATGGTAACACGGATAGAGTAAGCTTGAAGTGTTGTAATACCAGGACATTTTATGACCATCTCAGAGCAATTATATTTTTCACTTCCTCTCTTTCCCTAAATCTTCTCATACAAAGCTTCTTACATTTTCTTTGGCAGTTAGTAATACTTAACATGCATCTTCACTGTCTCATTTAGTGCTTCTAGGTTTGGTAGGTGTATCACTTGGGATTGCTTTCAGCTGCATTAATTGCAATCTAGCTAACCAACAGCCCAACAGTGATTTAAACACAGAAAGCCTTCTTTTCCTGGCCTGCCACATGTGCGTGTTTTGTTTTTCATGCAACAAGATATCTGAAGGTATGATGTGACACTGAGCTAGTATCCCATGGTGTCATGAATGCCCCAGGCTCCTTCTGTTTCTTTGCTCTGCTGTCCTTCTGTGAGGCTTTCACTTTCCTTGTCATAGATGGCTGCTGGATCTCCAAGTTTGACACATTCTCTCAAGGCAAGAAGCGGGGAAAGGCAAAGGGGAAAGAGGATACCAACCAGGTCAGTCCCTTTCTAAAAGCTTTCCAGAAAGTTCTATCCAGTGACTTCCACATGCATCTGCCCGGCCAGAAATGGGTTATACAGTCTTTTCTAACTACAGGTATTGATCAACTTACAACCTATGCAACTTACGACCATTCGACTTTACGACCACAATCGCTAGCCACGACTGCTCTGCATCTGGCAGTGCAAACGTTGCCCAGCTGGGCGTACGACAGTGCAGACGAGCTTCTGGCAGCACTACCATCTCCGTGTGCACCATTTCAACTATTATCCCAGACTCGGTACAGCAATTTGTGTTTTGTGTCTTGGATATTTTTCATCAAACCCCTCCCAATAAACTGCTTATACATTTTGAAGCAATGGACCCAAACATTGAACGATTTGCAAGGACTGAACGGATGGCGAACGATGTGTTTCGTCCATATCGTGAAATTTATGAAGAAAAAAAGAAACATACAATTCAGACAAAGCTCACCATGTTTATGAAAAAACTAACTCTGGAAACCCCAACTGCTGCCTCAGATGACGACATCAACGATCCACAGCCAAGCACCAGCGGCCAATAAAATGTTTCGTACATGTTTATATATTTTGATATGTTTTGCAATTGGGAAAATGTTTCCTATGGTATTTTTTACACCTGTATTTTATATTTTTGTATGCACCTGTATTTTGTAATTTTGTATGTTTTGCAAATATTAAACCAGTTGTACTGGTAATGCAGTGTTTTACTTAAACCTGACGAATGTAAAAATAAGAAACAAAATGGTGTAGAGATGATATAAATGGCATAAAATGAACAAAGAAAATTATGATATATAACAATAATGAAAGAAAATTATGATAAAATATGACTTGAAGATTTTTATAACATCATTTCACAGTACTGTACATCTAGCCTACTCAACTTACGACCAAATCGTGTTATGACCGGTCTGTCGGAACTAATCGTGGTCATAAGTCGAGCACTAGCTGTATAAGAGACTGTGGGAAGCTGGGTATCAGCTGAGCGTTGCTGCTCTAAACAAAATCAGATTTCTGTTAGGAAAGAAGGTATGGAAAGTGGATCTTAGAAAGGGAACAACCAATGCCTGCCATACACAAGTATCTGTGATGAGCAGACATGGCTAAGTGTCTCTTCCTATCTAGGAAGATTCACAGAATTACTCAAATCGCTTTTGTGCCAGGCAACTAGGGAGTCAGTCATCTCATTCGCTTGCATTTCCTCATCTCTGAAATTTCCAACTACAGTATTCCTCTTAGACCATCACTTAGAAGTGTTATGGTTTTCTATTCTTAATCCAAATGTGACAAAACGTATTCTCCTTGTTCAAAACCAAAATTTTGATAGGCAGCAGTGTGCTTAGCCTTAGATAATGAATAACGATTGGTCTAAGCCAATCGTGGCAATGCTATTTTCTTTTGCCATTGACTGGTATTCAGTAGTAGGCATGTGACCTAGATCTAACCAATGAGTGGAAATACACTGGGCTGGGGCAGGGCAGGGGCAGGGGGATGCAGAGGCTGTAGCTCATGAAAGATTTTCACCTCTGGTAAAAAGTCATAGTTGTAAGAGGAGAAAGCCCTTTCTTCCCATACCTCTTCTTTCCTGTTTGAGATGCTGTCATGTTAAAGCTTTGTGCTTAGAACTGTAGAAGCTGTCTTATGACCATGAGGCAATAGCCAAAAGAGGAAAGTGACTGAATATAAGACACTGGGTCCTTTATGAAATCACTGAGTTGCCAAACTAACCCTGAGATCCTCTACCTCCTGTTTTCTCATAGTAATAAATATCCCCATAATTTCAGCACTATCACTTTAATTTTCTGTTACAGGAGCTGAAAGCATTCAGAACTCACATACTATGTTAACATCATCCTCCATGTGTTATGGGCCAAGAGTACATTCGAGAGTAACTACAAAACTACATTCATTGTAGTATCCCTGTGGCACTCCCTTGGAATTCTAGTGTTCTGTAGTGTACTTTCCATAGCCTAGAAGGATATATGATTCCCTCTCTCCAGCCCTAAGGAACTCTTAATTTAAGACTGACAAGATGAATGAGTTAGAATGAGGGTGAATCCAATCCAAAAGAAGTAACAACAAGCAAGAAAAGGAAAGAACCTTGTAAACATCCAAGTTATAGAGTGTGGGAGTGTAAACTTAAGGAGGCTTTTATTTGGGAGAGAATATGCATCACCTCTGTTTGAATAAGAGAAATTAAATTGTAATTATGATGGCTTTTCAGTTAAAGTATTTGATGTGGAGGACAAGGAGACCATTCCTGACACGTTATTTAGCAAAGAATATGGAGGAGAGACAGAAGGCTGCGATGGAAAATGTTCAGAGTCCATCAACCAAAATGGTGATGCATTTGAGGCAGATAAATTTGCTTCTTGGTAGACAGAGGTGGGGTGACCACTGACATATGTCTTCAAAATTGCAAAAGGCACAGATTTGGGTGAAAGGGGGTTGATTCACCAAATCTCAGAATAGCAGAATGGCAATAACCCTAACGCAAGGCTTCCAGTTTTCCTCAGTTTAACTCCTTTTCCATACTGCAGCCAAAGAGATTTTTTTTAAAAATGAAAATCACTCAGACTGTGTCCTCTTCCTCTTCCTCTCCCCAAAGGAAGAAAAAAACAATCATCAATGGTAAATGGCAGTTGTAGCGAAGCAACACCAAGAAGCAGCTTCGTGATTAGGAGAGAACATTGTGTCTCTTCCTGCGGCTTCCAGTGCTCTACACACTTGGGGAAACTCCTCTAAGTAATGAATTACCGAAATGACACCTGGAAGTGTAGTCTTCAAAGTGATCTTTTAAAGATCCAAATATTTCCTGTTCCCCCTCTACCCAGAGATCTTCAGTGGCTCATTACTGCTTCCATGACAAGATCCTAAAACCTTGTCACAATCAAAAAGTCCTTCATAGTCTGCCCCTGCCTGCCTGTCTATATCTCCCATCACACTCTGCCTTCTCTGTGCACCCACCTGCCGTCTTCTTTCAGTGTGTGGACCCTATTGCGCTCTCTCAGGCCTCAAAACCTTGTAACATCCTGAACCTCCTCTTCACTAGTCGAATGCCTACTCATGCTTGGCTTCTGAGACTATACTTCACGCCACGTGGAGATGATCCTCAACCAAGCCCCACTCCAAAACCAGGTTACCTTCCCAATGTGATACACTTCCCACAGCACTCTTCTCCCTTTTTTATATTACTCATCACACTTGTGACTGATTGACTCTTTTCTCCTCTACACTGTAAGATCCATAAAGGCAAGGACCATGTCTGTCTCTTTCTGATGAATAAGCCTCAACATACATATAATAAATGGCCAGGTGTAATTTACCATTGTGTGGATGCCATCTTGGGAGGGAGGCTTCTAATAGTTAAGGGCATGTATTAAAAACAGACTCATGGTAAAATAATATGAATAGAAAAAAATTACTCAGAATTGTTTAGTGGCTGGGATATATCTTTTACTATTTTACTTAGATATCAAAGAAAAGTCAGTGTCCTCCATAGCATGTGCCACAATTTTGTACAACTGAGTTTGGAGCACAAGCTACAGCCTTTGAGAGCTCAGCTTCACTACTTATCAGCTGTGTGAGGTGATGTAATCCCTCTACTCCCTATGAGCCTTAGTTTCTTCATCTTTAAAATGGAGATAATGACAAAACTTTTCAATAAGGGCTTGTGAGGATTAAATGAGCTAATACATGGAAAGCTTTCATCCCTGTGCTTGCCACAGAGTTAGCATGCCATAAATGTTATCAAGGGTTCTTTATTGTTCTGCCCACCAACATCTGAGACAGAATATAAATACAACTGGCGCTGGGCCTGGTGGTTTATGCCTGTAATTCCAACTTTGAGATGCCAAAGTGGGAGGATGACTTTGGGCCAGGAGTTCAAGACCAGCCTGGGCAACAAAGCAAGACTCCATCTCTACAAAAAAAAAAGAAAAAATTAGGTGGGTATGGTGATGCGTGCCTCTAGTCCTAGTTACTCAGAAGGCTGAGGCAGGAGGATCAACTGAACCCAGGAGTTCAAGGCTGCAGTGAGCCATAACCATGCCTCTATACCACAGCCTGGCCAAAAGAGCAAGATTCCACCTCTTAAAAAACAAAAATAAATCAACTGGATCACTGGCCTGTAACAACTTAACAATTGTTAGGTGGTATTACTATGGGTGTTATTGTTTTTGTTATTTGCGGCAAAAAGTACTAGTGCTCACCTGAGCACACAACTTCCTTACGATCAGGTAGGTCCGTGGGCTGGTCACTACTCCAGCCCAGTGCCTAGCACAGTGCTTGACGCACGGTGTGTATGCAGTGAACGCTTAATGAGTACTTCAAGATCTATTCAGTGTGATAATGCAGATTCTCTTGAAAGCAAATGAATAGAGAAAAGCAGTATTCCACAGAGAAGGAGACAGAACAAAATGAACAGCCTTGATTTTACTTAAAAGGAAAATACACTTTAGGCAATAAAATTAGAAGTTACCATTTCCATGGCACAAAATAGAGAACTCATAGAGAACTGTGTGCTATAATATGGTCAAAGCAGAGGCCGATAACGAAGGCAGCAGCATTCAGAACCATCACATATATGGTCAGCTTTCAGACCCTGAAAAGTCAATTACAACATTCCAGGAAACTGCAGCACTTTCATTCTAAAGGAAGATTCTGAACTCTGTTCACATATTTCACCCATTCATATTGCTTTGTCTATCAGTGTGGCCTTTTACAAAGTGAGAGCTTCTTTCTTCTACCGTGCTCCATGACGATCAAACCCAAAATGCCTTCCACCCTTAAAAGGAAGTTTTTGGTAAGTGTCTTATTATAACTATCACATAGGACACAAGGCTCACCACTAATCTAAGACAGATGAGAATGAATTTCCTAAATAGGAAAGAAATAGCCATTCACTTTGAGGAGGTCCCAGTTTCTTGAAACTCTGTGGCATTGAGACCATTTAGAGTTTGCTGTCAAGATTCCTTGCAGTGTTCATTACCTTGGCTAGCAATCCCTCTGGACTACAGAAAGCTTATTTGAAATATATATAATCACAGGCTGCAATGCCTAAGTGCAACAGGATGATTTAAAAGCACCATGATAGCGTTCCCCCAGGACATTCATCTCTCCCTGTCTATACATCTGTGATCCAGACAAAAACTTGGAATGCAATCTGTATATTGATATTCCCTAAAAAGGATTTCAGAAGCTCTTTAGGAAGAATTGTTTTAGCAGTTTTGGAAGTGTAGAACATTCAGCATTTGTGGTATTTATGGATTTGGTTTCTATTTCATAAAAATAAAGCCTCACTAAGAGCAGTATTCAATTCCTATCCCAATGAGAGTATAGAGTAGTGGTTAAGCACATGTTCTTTGGAATGAGCCAGACCTGTGTTCATCTCTGGGCTCCCCATAGACCTCTTCATAAACTTAGACAAGGTATTCAACCTTTCTGAGTCACAGCGATGTCAGGTAAATTACTATGCATGCGCAGAAAAGCTTAATAAATATTAGATGTTACTGGTATTAATGTTGTTTTGCTGCTGTGATTGTTATTTTTTCTAGCAGAGATGATTAGTGTTCACCCATGTACACAGGTAGACCTCGTTTCCAAGTTGCAACGAAGTTAGGTGGGTCACATGACTGAGTTCCAACCAATGGAATGTGGCAGAAGTGATTCACACCCTTTCCTGGATGGACCTACAGAAATCTTTCAGACTCTACTCCTCATTCTTAACTTTTCCCTTCTCAGCCACCCTGAAGGCTACTTGTTAAAGAATTTAGAGCTACAAGATGGAAAGAATCGAGATCTTACCTAAGAACCTCCTAGGAGAGCCACCCTTTAGAAACATTGGCAGTGGATTCTGAATAAGCTTGATTTTTTTTTTTTTTTTTGGCCAGGTGTGGTGGCTCATGCCTGTAATCCCAGCACTTTGGGAGGCTGAGGTGGGTGGATCACTTGAGGTCAGGAGTTCGAGACAGCCTGGTCCACATGGTGAAACCCCATCTCTACTAAAAATACAAAAATTAGCTGGGTGTGGTGGCACGTGTCTGTAATCCCAGCTACTGGGGAGGCTGAGGTAGGAGAATTGCTTGAACCCGGGAGGCAGAGGTTGCAGTGAGATGAGATAGCGCCATTGTACTCCAGCCTCAGCGAAGAAGCGAGACTCCATATCAAAATAAGAAAAGAGTTGTTTTTTATTCAGTGAAGTTACTGAGATTTGATGAAGCTCATTACAGCAGTTAGCCTACTTCAGGGGTTCTCAGCCTGGTCACTACTGATATTTTGGACTACAGAATTCTTTGTTATGGAGAGCTGTCCTATGCATTGTAGGGTGTTGAGCAGCATCCCTGTCCTCTATCCACTAGATGCCAGTAGTAACCTCTCCAGTAGGCATGTCAACCAAAAATGTCTCCAGACATTGCCATATGTCACCTGCCAAATTGCCTCCGATTGAGAACCACCAGCTTACATTGACCAAAGTGTCACCGGCATTGCTATCATCACCATCATCAGTACTAATAGTCTAGTCTCTCATGTTTTCCTTGAAATCACTGCAAAAGAACCCAAAGTTCCACAAGAGTTAGCCCAGTATTTTTAGGAGAAAAAAATCAAATGACAGTAAAATTTAAGCACAGGTAAGGGTTCAAGCAATAAATCCAAAGTTATAGGAGACCAAAAAACAAACTAAGAACCAAAGTAAATATAATTGTTTTTTAAAAAGCTGATTTGATCACTTTGGTAACCTAGAATAAAATGATTAAAACAAAACAAACCTAAATATCTGGGTCTAGGAATTTCAATGTGTCTAACAAATGCTTGTAGAATATCTACCACAAGATAAACATTGGGTTGCACGTAACTTGATAAATAAAACAGATATAATCCCCATGCTCATAGAGATGAAAGGTAAATAAAAATATGGAGGTTTTTTTGTTTTGTTTTGTTTTGTTTTCAGACAGGTTCTTATTCTATTGCCCAGGCTGGAATGCAGCAGTGAGATCACAGCTCACTGCAGCCTTGAACTCCTGGGCTCAAGTGATCCTCCGTACAGCTAGGACTAGAGGTTTGTACCATCACACCCAGCTAAGTTTTGTAATTTTTTATAGACATGGGGTCTCACTTTATTGCCCAGGCTTATTTCAAACTCTTGGCCTCGAGGAATTCTCTAGCCCAGGCCTCCCAAAGTGCTGGGATTACAGGCATGGCCATTGCACCCAGCTGAAATATGATGGACTTTTTTAGCAGCTTAAACACAGTCATTCATTGATCATTGTGATAGCCAGACTATTAAAGATGTCCCTGCAAGATTGCCATCCCTGGGCCAGGTGCGGTGGCTCATGCCTGTAATCCCAACACTTTGGGAGGCCGAGGCAGGTGGATCACTTGAGGTCAGGAGTTCAAGACCAACCTGGTCAACGTGGTGAAACCCCATCTCTACTAAAAATACAAAAATTATCCAAGAATGGTGGTGAGTGCCTGTAATCCCAGGTACTGGGGAGGCTGAAGCAGGAGAATTGCTTAAACCCAGGAGGTGGAGGTTGCAATGAGCCAAGACCACCCTGTTGCACTCCGTGAAGAGACTTAGCTGATGTATCAAGGTTACTAATCAACTGAATGCAGCAGTGAGATCACAGCTCACTGCAGCCTTGATCACTTGGCAGATGTATCAGGAGACTTAGCAGATGTATCAAGGTTACTAGCCAACTGACTTTAATATTGGAAGGTTATATTGGATTATCTGGGTATGTCTACCCTAGACGCATGAGGTCGTAAAAGCATAAGAGGAAGGT